CTGCTATGATGTCACCGAGAGCAAAAATCAGAAGTGTTTCAGTCAGTGTGATTGTGAACTGCAGCTCAGCACACAACAGATATGAAAGTCTGATGAGCTTCTCTGCTTATTAAGTCTCTGCGTATTAAAAGTTGCAACTGTCTGCTCAGGGAGTTGCAACCTTTTTGACATCCAGTCTTGCATTTACAGCTACACTACATAGGTCACATGTTTCTGTTTTACAAAACCAACCAATGTGAACATCAACCAAAAAAGCATTTCCTAATCTTTTCATGCAGCACTTATATATTGATGAGGTATTCTGGTTCATAAATAGAGGGTGTCTATCTGCAGAGGTGCAGGTGCGTTTGACACATAAGGTTTTATGCTCTGTATATCGATCCGTCCATTCAGCAGGCACTGCAGGGGTTTGGTGCCTAGTGCACAAGGCACCAAACCCCTGGCAGGCAGAACAGTAGTTGCCAAGAATTTGAAAATAACTACCTTGCTTATATTTTGTATTTATATTCTATACTTTATCTACTGGTGCACATACCTGCCCAGAGATTGCACATATAAATTATTAGTACAACAAACAAAAGAATGAATGACGAGACAAACGATTATTAAAGGTCATGAACTGACTCTACAATATATATAAAGAATGTGCTAACTTTAGATTCTGCCTACAACTCCTTTAAATCAGTCTCATGCTGAGATTTAGGCCAAAAACTACTCATAACTAAATCCTAGTTGGGTTACTAACATTGAAACATAAAAAATGTGACGTATAAAGTTCCACAGAGAGGCTTAATATTCCCCACCTACAGATAAAAGCCAATTATAGCTTGTAACAGCTTGAAGATTGTAGTCTTCTGACATTCACAGTTAATCGCAAATGTAAATCTGCAGGCTATCTGACGACAGTGTTGAGTCAGTTACTTTAAAAAGTAATTAATTACTAATTACTTAATCAATGTTGTATTTAAATTACTCTACTTTTTCAGTGGAAAAGTAATTTAATTACAGTAACGCGTTACTTAATAATGCGTTACACCCAACACTGTCTGACGATATATTACAACTGCTTTCTTTATAATTTCTTTAATGTAACAAACGAGATGGATCTTTTCCATGCTGAAATCCTATCTGGCGATTCATCACTAGGAATTACGTCTAGCGTCACTTAGATCAATTTGATTCATTTCTTCTTGCAGGCCTCTACAATTCAGAACGCTTTCCATATAACACCTCTAATTGTTCTCTAATGCCGTGTTACTTCCCACGATGCATTTCACGGACTTGGTGCAGGTCTATCCAATTGCATCCAGAAACATTGTGTACATTGTCTACATCTCTTGTTAACACCCCCTGGAAATCAAAAATGGGTTGAGGCAATCCAGACTATTTGCATTCACACATTTGTCATGGTAAACTTCCAACTGACCGATGTCAAAGAACTACTCAGCTCTCCCGGTCTCAAACATAAGCATGTGCTCATGCCTGTTGTTATCGTGCCAGCACTGCTCTGGAAATATTACCACTCTGACGTCCACAGCGGCTTGAAGTGTTTGCAATCAAATACCTGCCTGTGAACAAGACTGACATCTGCAGCTTAATTTTGAATCACTTGATTGTATTTGTGGGGAAAATGTGGCCAATAAGTGTTGACATTTTCATCTACAATCGCCTCTGTTTTCTTTCCAGTCTTTACCTCAAATAGGCTGGCTGAGCATGCATGCCGTTTCTCAGCAACACACTCGTTCATATTCACAGTTTGACAGATTCACACCCACAGTCTTCCACTGGACCGGCTCATGGGCATCTGTGTGGCAGCAGTTCTCATTTTCACCTTCCAGACTGTTCTCCAACTGGTTCATCATGAGCTCCACCATCCTCTGGCTAACAGCTCCCGCTGATCTACCTCTAGGCTACAGGTTGATGTCTTTCGCACATATTTTCATGCCAACATCACCTCATCTTCTTCTCCTCCAAAAACGTCACAAACTTGCACAGCCTTCATCACTCAGGCTCCTGCCAGTCCAACACTCGGGTCTTCGTCAGGCCTATAATTATGTCTTAGTTGTCTGCTTTAGCTACCTTGGCACGATAGACTATACAATCATTTCCAAACTGAATATAAATAATAGAATTTCTGAGGTAGTACTGCAATAGTTCAAACAACAGCCTCCTATACACGTATCATCCAAGGGTCCGACATGTTCAATCCAAAGTGTTTTTTGAGTTTGACAGACATCCAGACAAAACAAAAAAGCCTCTTTGCACCTGATATTACCTGAACAGGCATAATGAACTCATATCTAATAGTGAACGAGAAGAACTTTGGATAAACTGATAAATGGGATTATTAATAACTTGCAGAACTACACCTAAAAGTACAGCTGCTCCAAATAAATTAGTTCTTAGAGCTTATCATACTTATCTTTGAACACGAATATAATTGTCTTGTGCATGCAAGTCCACTGATATGTGAAAAAAATACAGAGTAATGCCAGAGAAAGTGCTTTCCAACTTAAGATCTCTTAAACACAGACACCAGCTGGGAAGACAGAAAGTAACAAAAAAAGAATAGTGACAGAGCTAAGACCATCATTTTTTTAATGAATGCTGCAGTGAACAGATGCTGCAGATGTGGGATGGAAGATATGACGAACTGGGGAGAAGGTGATGCAAGAGCTTGAAAATCAGCACCAGTACGACGTCAGTCTGTATTTGAGTTATTGGAAAGGCAGGTTTGTCTTTTACTAGATGCTTTGATAACACAGATTGAGTAGTTACGATTTACTAGTTAGTTCTAAAGTCAACAGTGCTAGAAAACTCTGCAAAATACTGGCAACAGCAACTAGGACTCCTCACCCTCCTACCAGATGGTATCCTAAGTGACTTCCTTCTCGAGTAATTGCATACACAAGATTTTCAAATGACAAGTGAACTGACCTTAAGGTCAAGGTCACTGAGATTCAAACAGAGATTTTTAGTAGATATCAATTTGAAACCACCGATATATTTCCACACCTAACACACCGATAAGTTTGACCATATCAGCCAGGGCTTATAGAGAGCTGACTGGTCCATAACAGCTGTGGCTTTCGAACAGTAGGCAACATATTTTCCATCTTGGGGAATCATCAAGATTTGTTTTTGGCAAATGTGAGATGAACCTTTGTATTATTTTGGTTTGACAGTGGGGTTGTCCTTGAAACTCTTCCATGGATGCCATTTTTGCTTAACTATTTCAATGTACTAATGTGCACTGTTTTTTTGTTTTCTTTTACAACGTCCTGGATAAGTCGTCAATGTTTTCTTGGAGTAATTTTGGAAGCCCATTCACTCCTGGGAAGGTTCACAGCTGTTCAACTATATCTATATATATCTATCTATATATCTATATTCAGGGGTAAATACTTTTTCACAGCACATGAACATGTTTGAATTCCTGGAATGCATAGATTTTTGAACTAGTAGGTAATGGTTCCCATGCAAGTCAAATAAGTATGTCGTGACCTCAATTTGTTAGTCAGAACAGTCAGTATAGCTCAGTTGTCACCTCCAGGTTTTATAAAACATGAAAAAAAATGATGGTGATTGGCAAAATGTTCAAACTGTAGCTTAAAAGAGGTAGTTTCCATAATAGTGAGTAACATCACAGTGGGTAGATCCAGTTTTTATTTAAAGTCTATTGTGTGGAAATGCAGAACTATTGGGTAAATGTTTCGCTATTTGAACTTGGACCAAAGTGGTGGCTTTATCAACCCCAAGGCTAAAAATGTCATCCTTATAGCTACTATGGCAGCTTGCCTGAAACACACAAGTCTAGAACAACAGGAGAAGACAAGCACACATGGAGGCACTAAAGTACACTTGCGCATATGCATGCAAGTGTACCCACTTTCCACCAAATTATAAAAGTGAACAGAGGTTACGGTCAGAGGTCGGAGTGTGGGGGGTGCTTGGGATCAGTGACCAAAGTCCTGCACCATCATCCCGTCTGCTTCCGGATCTGTGTATCCATGTATATGTCTGTTTGAAACAGGCAGGAAGGCATGCCACTGCAGTAACCAGATAGCAGGGTGTGCATGGCCATAAAAAAAATCCAGCCAGGTCAAACAGTGGAGTCATTACTCTGATTGAGAAGAGCGATTAGTGCTGTCTGGTCAGCAAGAGACCAGAAAGAAACTTTTACTTGAAAAACATCTGTCGGGAACATTTTGACAGGTTCAGACACAAGAGTCCAGACGCGCACACAGAATCGTTTCCACTGTCCAATAAATCTGACCAAAGCAGACTGTATTTGTAGGAATGAGTCCTCAACAAATACAGAAGACTACTACTTCTACTATTTGTGCTCCAGTGAATTCTGCTCATGCTTTCAATTTTTAGCATTTCAGAGAGTTCATATGCTCTAGAAAGTGCCAGAGACACAGGCTTCTTCCGCTTGATTCATTTTCACACAGATCTGTGGCAAAGATGGTGACTAAACTGTCTCTAACACAAACACAAAACTGTTCTGCTTTTCTAAACCGATGACTTTAATTAGATGCCTTGGACTTTCTTTTTTCTTTTTCCCCATCCCCAATCATCCCTGCTCCTGCCGCCGTCTCCTTTTTCCCCCGGTCACGGATCAATGGCACCTCCCCAATTCCCAGCCCCCAGGGAGAATCAACTGATGCACACATACGCACAAGGAGCCACTAAACATTCGTAGAGCTTCGTCTACAGAAGTGGACAAGAGCACAAAAATATTAAAGCTATATGACTCAGAGTTACAGGTACAAGTAAAAAATGTTATTCATTTGGAACGCACAACGCAAATCGGAACATGACTCTAATAATGTGTTTCAAACTGAAGGACCCAGAGTCCGTGCTATTCTGGAAGTGAATGTTCAGTTCTTTGTTCTGCTTTTTCAAGCTCAAAGTGAGGATCTTTAGCTTTTACATTAAGCGGGAAATTTGTTGTGTGTGTGTGTGTTTGTGTGTGCTTGTGTGTGTGTGTACGTCTGGCTGAGGCCCAGGCCTGCTGAATCCCTCTGGACAGCGGAAGTTGTTTCCTGATTGCTCATCTTCTCAGTAGAAAAGTAGCTGCATTGTTTTACTTAATTCTTCCATCAACCATAACCCACACACACGCTTACCATTTAACCTTTTCAGAACAGAAGCTGCATTTGATTGCAGAGTTGTGTGTGTGTGTGTGTGTGTGTGTGTGTGTGTGTGTGTGTGTGTGTGTGTGTGTGTGTGTGTG